GAGGGCGCGAGCTCAGGGCGCATCTTCCACCTCGCCCAAGCCTCTGCCTTCGCTAGCTCTTCATGCTGCCCACCTGAAAGGAAGACATGGGCACCGGCGATTTCATCTGCATTTCCATGACTGGAGGTGCTCCCTGGGGCTTCCGATTGCAAGGTGGCCGGGAGCAGAAGCGACCCTTACAAGTTGCAAAGGTAGGCGCAGAAGGAGGTGCCAGCCAGCACGCTCCGTCTGGAAAGGAGGGGACGAAAGCAACCTGTTGATGCTTTTTCAAATTCTGACCTGCAAATCTATGGGTTACTTTGATTTGGGTGCTGAAGTTCAATCTCTTTAGGATGTGTCTTGTTTTTTAAGAAGAGAAATGTATAGCGCAGATTATGCAATTATGTAGCAGTTAGTAGGGGGAGAAAAAAAATGTCATACTTGGCTGAGGAAAAGGCCCAGTTCATCATCTGACAAGCACCAAGGATGCGGGGGGTGCTTTTTCTCCTGGCAATTCACGAATACGCCATTGAGTTCTTTCTTGTATCTTTGCTTGGCCCTAGCAGAGAAGAAACGCTTGCCTCTGGCATAAACTCCTGGCTTGGATATTTTGGGGACTCCCATAAAGTGTTGGTAGTGACATTTATTATGTAGCATGCCCGAAAAGGCCAATTTTGGGCAACCATTTTAAAAATATGATGGGATGTCATAAGATCTATTTAAAAGAATACCCTTTTAAGGTTATGACAAATAAAATGCAAAACTTCAATTAGTATATTCCATCATGTGTACTCAACCGGCTAAGGACTCAGAATAAAATTCAAAGACACTTGAAATGTGCAGCACTTAAGACTAACTTTGTAATGTATCCAGTAACTATTTAAAATTTTTAATGTTTCTGTTGCCATTCCCTGGCTTGTTTCTTAGCTTTACTTTAATAGTATGCTCAAAGGGGATTCTATTTTCTAATGCATTCAGCTAAAATAACTTTTAAAATGCATAAAAAAAACAAAACAAAACTTTACCTGATTTTAATACCAAAGTGAAGAACTGCATGAAAGAGTATGTGAAGGGAAAAGAAATTAATTTCCTGCTTTATCCTTGTGTTAAAACTGGGTCTAGATCTTTCAGAAATATATGGGCCACTGTCTTTGCATCTATTCTTTCCCCTTGGATTTAGATTTTTTAAAATGTACCAAAGAAAGGAGTTTCTTTGAAATTTTCTGCTGAGGCATCCATCAGAAGGCTCTTTTGTAACGTGGTGGTAGAATCCTGCCACCTAGTGACAATCGCAGGCACAAAGTAGAAGATGAAAAGCATACTTTTTATAACTGTAAAGTTCCTCAGAGATCTTCAGTTCAACTGGCTAATTTTAGATGAGGATCCAGCCCAGAGAGGTTAAGTAACTTGCCTTATGCCTTCAAGTTGGAAGTGATAGAATAATTAAAGGATTGAAAAGGTGGCTTTCTTGGGCTTGAGTCAGCAGGAGGCAAAGTCAGATAAAATATGAAGGTCTGACTTCGCATTTGTAGAATTCAGGAGACAGACAGATTTGCCCTGGATTTAGAATAGCAGTTGGTTGGCTGGCTTTCATTACTGAGATTTGGGTTCTAATTCCAGCTCTGATCTAACTTACAACCTGATATCTTGCCCATCCTTTCTCATCTATTCTGTGTGTGTGCACATGTGGGTAAAGGGAAAGAGACAAAAATTTTCAATGGAATAGAAAGGAGAGAAGGAAGAAATTGAACTGTACAAATCATGAAGTTCTAATCATATTCGAGTATTCGGTGGTTCTCACAGCATACAACTGTGAACTCACACACCCACTAACTGAAATACGAGGACAGAAGTGTCTGAAAATCCTCACTATCTCTTTGATAACCAGGCCTGAATAAGAGTGGGCAGTGGGTTTCCCTAGTCTCGAAAGTAGAGCCAACTAGGTGACCTTTGAAGAACTCAAGCGGGTTGCTAGAGAAGGTACTGTGGAGACACTTCCTGCCTGGTAGCCTCTGGATTGCCAGAATTCAGAGTTTGTTAAGCTGTGTGAAGGTCAAGGAATGCAGCCCTACACTCCCCTCACATCACCTTTCCTAAAATACTCAGGCAACATATTTGTGGTTAAAAGATCATTGTTAAAGTATCCAGGTAGGTTTACCAGGAGCTAGGGATGTGGCTGAGGTGTACAATATATGCTCGGCTTGTACAAGGAAGGCCCTGGTTTCAATCCCTAGTGATATCCCCTTCTGCAAGGATTATGTAATTTTCTAACATATGATACTGTGGTTAGAGTGAAGATATAGAAATATATTATGGAAACATCAAGATGTTTGCATGAATTTGTGTATGTATGTGAGAGAGAGGAAGATGGAAGGAGAGACATAACAATCTACCATTTACCTCTTTCCTCATTTGTTGAAGAAACTAGAAAGTTTTCTAAAGAAGAGACAAGTTCTGCATTACCATGGGAATGCCTGCTTTCTTGGTCTATGTTTATCTTAGTCCAGATTTATATTCGGTTTCTTATCTGGCTTCGTGAGGGTCATTTTGTTTTGTTTTGTTTTTACTTTTATTAGTACATGTTTGTAGTACACAATCATTACATTCACTGTAGGGAATTGGTACATGTACATAACACATTTCATCATTTTTTACTTAAAACACTAAGTAACTCAATGCGTTAAACTCAAGTAATGGTTTCTCCTGGAGGTCAAGGTGAAGTGAATGTCACCTGAGCACAGAATTTCTCACTCACTGGGACTGGTTCACCTCCAAGTAGAAGAATGTAAGGGAAGAGTCAGAAGGTCTAGAGGCTGGGCGCCAGCATATACAGTGTTCACAATTTAGAAGGACATGCAAAAGATTAATGTGGGGATTAAAAAACATAAATATTTCAAAAGAGAAGAAAAATTTAAACCGTACTTGAACAATGCTCCTTGAAATGAGATGCTACAAAGTAATTCCGTAGGCAAACACAAATTTTGACTTGTATTATGGAATATTTAAGTGTTTAGAGTCTTTCTAATGCTACATGCGATGAAACTTTAACAATCTGACACAGCACAAGAAAAAAAAATCTAATATTATCCACAAAATGAGAAACTAAATAGCTTTATAAACCCAAATAAATATCTTTTTGGTGATATGTTTCATCGCTTATGATAGATGTTCAAATAATTTTAGCATTTGGCTGGCTGACTAAACTGTACAGAAACCCAAATTTTGAAGATGAGAGACAGTAATGTTACTAAAAATTTTGAGTGACATTGAAGCTGAATGCCATAAAATTCTGTTTTGTTTTTTAAAAATAAACCAATTCTTTAAAAGGCCCAAATGATCAGTATTATTAACCTGGATTTTTGAATGTTACCTTATATTTTAATTTATATTCTCCATATATCTAATAGAAAACATTTCTAATACTGAGTCATAGCATAATACTAGTCTGCAGGCTCTCTTTGCAAGAGCTCATCCCCAGAAACAAATTTATCCAGACAGAAACTCCATTGTGCATGCAGATATCTTCATAAGAAGAATGTTGGCATTTTTCCTTAACAAAACTCTCTTTGGGGACATGTACTTACATGATCATGTCTCTGGACATACTCTTGGCAAATCACTTTAGAAAATCGTTCATAAAAAGAAGTGGGAAGAAATTTTTGTTTTATAAACAAATCCTGCACACAATTGAAAAAGAACTCACATTTTGAAAGTAACAAACCAAAAATTGTTCAGACTCTTTGTTCTTTACATATTTTAATGCAGCTAGAAATCTTTTTTCTTACAACAGTGTAAACATTGATAACTATTATTTTCCTATTTAATTTTAGTTTACATTTTCAAGGCACTATTAAAACAGAAATGACAAACTCATTCATTTCATAGACAGAAATTGACTTAACAGTTATTTTCTACTACTGTAGCTGCGCTCCTTATAATGTCTAATAAAAATGTGTTATATAGGCAAAGCATGTTTCAAATCATGTAGTTAATATCCCTATGATACAGTGTGGTTTTGTAACATTTCAAATAGAATAATCCCAGAAATAGCTATTACTAATGAGAAAAATATATTGATATATTTGAATGTGTATACTTTAGAACAAAGCTTTGTATTATGGAAAGCTAATATCTTTATTAGGAAATATGCTTAATAACTTAATTTTTAAATTGATTTTGAGCCCTTTCTAGAACCTTTCTAGAAGGTTTTTAGAACTCAGCGTATGCTAAGTAAGTCTATTAAACAGATGTTATTTTAAAAAATTCTCTTTTGGAATTTCATGTTTTCTGATAGATCAGTGTTGTAACATGAAAGCAAAATAATAAAGTAACTATGCGTGAGCTTTGCCATTATCTGGATGTAGCACAACATAACTCACATCTAACAAGCCTTTGCCATGTGCTAGGAAATATCCCAAGTGTTTTTCTGGTAATATCTCTTCAAGTGGTTCTTCAAAATTTAAGAAGCTTAAATGAAAAAGTATCTCTACTCTAGAAATGAAGAAATGGAGCCACAGAAAGGGTAATGCTTACCAATGGTCAGGCTATAAAAATGACTGGATTTGATTTTTCTCCTTCCTTGTTGTTGAAAACATGTGCCTAAGAGGATTAAAGTAGATGAAGATGGTCTCCTCAAAAGTTCATAGAAAACAAAAGTACTATATCTCATGTAAAGCCCTGATTTAATAGCTCTGGTATTTGTCCTGAGCTCCAGGATTTGTAAACACTCTGAAGGTGGTTCTGGTGTGTGATCAAGATTATAACCATTGCTACAGGCAAAAGCAGTGTCCCCACAGATTCAGCTGTGTCTTCACAGGACTTACCGAGGGGGGACACAAAGTGTGCTTTCAGCATACTTTACCCACCACCTCTTTTCCAGCTGAATTAAGAGGAAGACCAGAGAAAGAACAAGAACTGTTGTGAATTCTTGGCATTATGAGCAGGTCATGAATATTGCTGGGAGCATCTTCTCTTTCTGAAGCCAAGAGAAGTGGTCTGGGGAGAAGAGAGGATATGTTGACAAGCTCCAATATGATCACTGTAAAGATTTAAAGATTGAAAATGTCCGCGAGAAAAGAGGCTGGTGATTTATTCCCCACATGTTTGTCTTTGTCAGTGGGTTTGGAGCATTTATGAATAGGAGTAGATGACATTGGAAGGAGGATAGAGGGCAAAATTGGAGAAAGATGCAGAGAAAGGAGAGAAAGAGGAA